ATCTCTGCTTTTTAAGATGCTGTCTGGTTTTGTCATCACTTCCCTCCCAAGAAGCAGGCGTCTTTTAATTTTGTGGCTGCTTTCACCATCTGCAGTGATCATGGAGCCCAAAAAAGTAAAATCTGTCACCACCTCCATATCTTCCCCTTCTATTTGCCAGAAGGTGATGAGACCAGTGGCTATGATCTTAGTTTTTTATTTTTTAAGTTGAGCTTCAGACCATTTTTGGCGCTCTCCTCTTTCACCCTCATTAAAAATTTCTTTAATTCCTCCTCACTTTCTACCATCAGGGAGACAACATACAGCCTTGTCGTATTCCTTTTCCAAGCTTGAACCGATCAGTTGTTCCATATCCAGTTCTAACTGTTGCTTCCTGTCCCACGTATAGGTTTCTCAGGAGACACTCCCATTTCTTTAAGAACTTGCCATAGTTTGTTGTGTTCCATACAGTCAAAGGCTTTTGCATAGTCAATGAAGCAGAAGTAGATGTTTTTCTGGAACTCTCTGGCTTTCTCCATAATCCAGAGCTTGTTAGCAATTTGATCTCTAGTTCCTCTGCCCCTTCGAAATCCAGCTTGTACTTCTGGGAGTTCTTGGTCCACATGCTGCTGAAGCCTACCTTGGAGGATTTTGAGCGTAACCTTACAAGTGAGTGAAATGAGTGCAACTGTACAGTAGTTGGAGCATTCTTTGGCACTGCCCTTCTTTGGGATTGGGATGTAAACTGATCTTTTCCAATCCTCCGGCCACTTCTGAGCTTTCCAAACATGCTGGCATATTGAGTGTAGCACCTTGACAACGTCATCTTTTAAGATTTTAAATACAGTGGTGCCTCGCATAGCGCCAATAATCCCTTCCGGAAAAATCGTCACTATCCGGATTCGTCGCTATACGAAAAGAAAAAGCCCACAGGAATGCATTAAACCCCGTTTAATGTGTTCCTATGGGCTTAAAACTCACCTTTAAGCGAAAATCCTCAATACAGCCACCATTTTCGCTGCCCGGTATGCGAGGAATCGGCGTGGAAACACAGTGGGTGGCCATTTTTTTCCTGTGGCCATTTTGGAACCGCCGATCATTGCAAAGCGATTTTTACCATTAGAAACATCATTATGCAATTGGAAAAATGATCGAAAAAATCCGTCGCTATGCGGATTCGTTGTTAAACGAGGCGCTCGTTAAGCGAGGCACCCCTGTAGTTTCACTGGAATTATTTTCCTCTATTTCTTTGCACTGTCTGTTTAAGAAGCTCCTCTTGTCTCTCCTTGCTATTCTTTGGAAGTCTGCATTCAATTTTCTGTAATTTTTCCGATCTCCCTTGCATTTTGTTTTCCTTCTCTTCTCTGTTATTTGCAAGGCCTCGTTGGACATCCACTTTCTTGCATTTCCTTTTCTTTCGGATGTTTTTTGTTGCTGCCTCCTGTACAATGTTATGAACCTCTGTCCAAAGTTCTTCAGGCACTCCGTCTACCAAATTTAGTTCCTTAAATCTGTTATTCACATCCACTGGGATTTGGTTTAGATTATACCTAACTAGCCCAGTGGTTTTTCCTACTCTCTTCAGTTTAAGCTTGAATTTTGCTATAAGAAACTGAGGATCACAGCCACAATCAGCTCCAGGTCTTGTTTTTGCTGACTGTATAGAACTTCTCCATCTTTGGCTGCAGAGAATATAATCAATCTGATTACGGTATTGCCCGTCTGGTGATTTCCATGTGTAGAGTCGCCTCTTGTGTTGTTGGAAAAGCGTATTTGTGATGACCAGCTTGTTCTCTTGACAAAACTCTATGAACCTTTGCCCTGCTTTGTTTTGAACTCCAAGGCCAAACTTCCCTGTTGTTCCTTTTATCTCTTGACTGCCTACTTTAGCTTCCAGTTCCCTAGAATGAGAAGAACATCTTTCTTTGGTGTCAGTTCTAGAAGGTGTTGTAAGTCTTCATAGAATTGGCCAATTTCAGTCTCCTAAGCATTGGTGGTTGGTGCATAAACTTGGATTATTGTGATGTTGAAAGGTCTGCCTTGGATTCGTATTGACATCATTCTATCATTTTTGAGATTATATCCCAGTACAACTTTTCCCACTCTTTTGTTGACCATGAGGGCTACTCCATTCCTTCTATTGGCTTCTTGCCAACAATAGGAGATACGATCATCATCTGAATTGAATTCGCCCATTCCGTCCATTTTAGTTCACATATGCCCAGGATGTCAATGTTTATTCTTGGCATCTCCTGTTTGACCACATCCAGCTTACCAAGCTTCATAGATCTTACATTTCAGGTTCCTATGCAGTATTTTTCTTTGCAACATCACACTATCCTTTCACTTCCGGGTACGTCCACAGCTGAGCGTCCTTTCGGCTTTGGCCCACCCACTTCATTAGCTCTGAAGCTACTTGTACTTGTGCTCCGCTCTTCCTCAGTAGCATGTTGGACGCCTTCCTACCTGAGGGGCCCATCTTCCAGCATCCTATCTTTTAGCCTTTTGTTTCTGTTCATGGAGTTTTCTTGGCAAAGATACTGGAGTGGCTTGCCAATTCCTGCTCCAGGTGGATCGCCTTTAGTCAGAACTCTCCAGTATGAACCATCCATCTTGGATGTCCCTGCATGCCATAGCCCATAGCTTCTCTGAATTACTCAAGCCCCTTCACCATGAGAAGGCAGCAATCCGTGAAGGGGTTAGTTTTAAATATTGTCTTTTAATGCTGCTTTGGGTTCTTTTAAAGGAGAAAGGAGGGGCATGCATAAATGAATGGATGGATGGATGGATGGATGGATGGATGGATGGATGGATGGATGGATGGATGGATGGATGGATGGATGGATGGATGGATGGATGGATGGATGGATGGATGGATGGA